CTAAAAGATTTTGCAAAGTGCCAAGGATATCGGAATGAAAATCAACTTCAGTTTTTTAAAAGATGCTCCGACTATCATAAGTCGTGGGATTCCATATGTAATATATATCGGCACGTGATGGCATCTGAATTAATGTGGCCATATATTGTTTCTGAAGAAAACCCTTCCGTCAAGGGCTATTTAAAATGGGCTCAAAATCAAACTGATCATATGTTTAGGTTAAAGTATGAACAAATTTTCATTTATTTGCAAGCAATTATTAACTTTCGTACCGATGTTCGTTTTAATAGGCTTTTACTAAGACTTGCAGCCAGACGAACGTTTGCGTCTATTTGGTCTGCTCGGCGGCATCCAATCTATCGATTAATCAAGGTTGCTGATGAAGAACAGATGCTACGATTAAAACCTAAAATTCGAAATCTAATCCAAGAAAGGGTTGTTACATCACGGTTCAAATTTTCAAATCAACATCAAGGCCATGATGCAATACTTGAAGAAATTAACAAATCGTTAAAATCATTAATTCCTCCAATACCTTCACAACAACACTGGGAAATTGCAGCACGTAATTGTACTAAATTTTCGAAATTGCATACTAACATTTTTAAAATCATAGGATATTCCGAGAGTGAAACCAATGGGCCTCGTACACGTCCTAGTTTTACCGCTGAATCATGTCGATTTCGGGTTCAGATAAGAAAAGCCCAATTCGTAAATCCAAATGCCGATAATCGTGCTTTTCAAAATCTAAGTGGGGAATTGACATTAAGTGATGAAATGATAAGATTTAGTGAAATCGTATGCATAAAAAGAATTGAATTTATTAGAGCAAAATTAATTAACAAAATACCATTAGGCATTTGGCATCCAATCCCCATAACATGCGACAAGGCAGAGCTTCAGAAAACTGAAAACTCTTTAACAAAATCACAAAATTTATCTATTATTAATACTTTAGCTCCTTTTTAGGTGATTCAGATCGATTGCACTTTCGTGGTTTATCGAATAAGTCCCGTGAAGATTTAGTGAATATTCTTCAAGAAATCAGAAATATATTAGCTGAAA